GAACATCGAGGAGAGCGCTCCGAGGCTGCTCGAGCCCTTGGTGTCCGGGGTTCCGCGGGGCGTCACCGACCTGTCGCTGCTCGTCGGACTGCTGGTGCTGTTTCTGCAAGGGCTGCGAGCCAGTTGCTCCGGTTGTCCACTGGACCTCGGAGTCGGTGGGTTCATGCGAGGTGACAACACCTCCCGGCCCTCCTCCGATCCTTCGTGCAAGCTGCTCCGCCGATGGTTGAACGAACCTTGCTGCTGCTGCTGCTGCTGCTGCTGCTGCTCCTCCTCCTCCCTGCAGTCCTCCACGATCTCCTTCTTGACGAAAACCTCGCGATTCGACTGCGACTGTTGCTCCTCCTCGTTGCCGATTCGTTCCTCCGGCGACTCCTCGTCTCGGGGCTCCTTCTTCACGACCACGCCCGCCGCGCTCACCGCGCCTGAAGCGGACGTCTCCTCGTCCCCGGACTCTTCCGTGGGCGAGGGATGGTGACGAGTGGAGGGCATGCTCGCCGGTCCGACCTGTTTGTCCGGCGTGACGCGACGATGATGATGATGATGATGATGGGAATGCCTGGTGTCCGAGTGGCCCACCGAGGAGAGATCTACGCGCCTCTCGGGCGTCATCGCATCGGTTCGTCCGGCGCTACCCCTTTCCGAGACGGAGCTCGACTCGCTGCCGCTTCGTTCCCGCCTTGCCGCCGCGCTCGTGGTGTAGTGCTGTTGCTGCTGTTGCTGCTGTTGCTGATGCTGATGCTGATGCTGATGCTGATGCTGCTGATAGGACCGTAACAGATTCATCGTTTGCGGGTCGACCAACGGTTTCGTGTAGTCGACGCTCTCGTCGATGCCTAACCGCTTCAAGATACTCGTGCCCATCGGGGCACCGGGTTGGGCGTGATGCAGACCGGGTGTGCCGTGCCTGACGCGAGAGTCGAAGCTCTTCTCGATCAGCTTCTCGATGGCGTTCAAGACCGACGGGGACGAGCTGCCGCCGCCACCGGTGGTCTCGCCGGTGCTCGGAGTCGGCGTGTCTTTGCCAGGGGTGGTCGCGTCGCTGGCCGACGAGGGTGACCGATGGTGCCTCGAGGACACCGAGGAGCCGTCCTCCGTCACGCTCTTGCGGCCGCTCTCGGTGGGCGGTAACGTGGCGGGCAGGTGATTCGACATCAACGCGTTCTTGAGGAAGTTCCGTTGATTCACGCCCACGGTACCCGCGCCGATGCACTGGCGTATGTGATCGACGAAGATGGTCGTCTCGATCTTCTCGCCGCACTTCTCGCAGGTTATCCTGCCTGCGTGTTTCCCGAGAGCGTGGCTCAGCCCGGTGGCAGCGTCGCCGTTCTTGAACTCGTTCTGCGCTCGCTCCAGCTCCAGCAGCTTTCTCACGGGCAACGACTTTTTGCGCTTCTCCCTCGTCTGCCGTCGTCGTCCTCCGGTTTCGGTGATCGAGCGCATAATGTGCTCCTTGTAGTGGGAGTTTTTCACCATGTGGTTGCTCAGTTCCTTGAGCGAGCTGAACGCTTGGTCGCAGACCTTGCAGGTCAGCACGGCGCTCACGTGGCTGCTGGTCGCACCGGAACCAGGACCGGTGGGGTTTCCGGTGTGCGTGCCGGAAGCGCCACCGGCGGTCACCGCCGCTCCACCAGCCCCGGCTCCGCCGCTCACGGCCCCGGCACCACCGCCGCCGCTCCCACCGCCGCCACCTTTGCTCTCGTCCGACGACTTCCACGAGATGATCTGCTCCTGCGAGATGATGTTGGTGTAGTGTTGCGTCTGCTGCATGTGCGAGGTCATCTCGGCGAGAGAGCGGAAGCTCTGGCCGCACCACATGCACTTGAGAATCTGTCGGGTCTGCTCGGCCCCCTTTCCCAGCCAGACGTCTTGCCCGCGGACCAGCTTCCTCGGCAACGGCATCGTCTCCTTGATCAGCAAATTCAGCTCGGATGGACTCTGCTTGCTGCTCGGCGTCGCGGAACCACCCCCTCCGCCTGCGGAGCCGGCGCTGCTGCCCGAGCCGGTGTTCGGCAGCTGCTGGTGCGGCTGTTGAGGCGTCACGATGCTAGGCACGCTCGGCTGTTGGGGATGGAGCGCGGACGCGGCAGCCGGCACGGGCATGTTCACGCCGCAGTGTTTCGCTTCCTTCATGTGCGTGGTCATCGCGGCCAGCGTTGGAAAGCTTTGCTTGCACCAGACGCACTTGAGCACGTCTTTGGCCTGATCGGCGCCTTTGTTCAACCAATGGGACTGCCAGGCGCTGTGTCTGCTTCCGGAGGTGGAACCGCCGCTGGCGTTCCCGGCAACGGCAGCCGCTGCGGCAGCGGCGGCGGCAGCTGCGGCCGCGGCTCCACCGGCACCGCCACTCGCTCCGACGGAACTCGACCTGAACAGATCCTCGCCGCCTAATTTGCTCAGCTCGCTCATCTTCTCGAGCGCTTTGGTCGCCTCGCTCGGCTGATAGGGCTTGTCTAAAGCGGACGGTGGCTTCATCTTGCCGTTCCAGAGCTGCTGATGATGCTCGACCACGCCGGCGGTGCTCTTCGGCGAGAGTTGCTGCTGACTAGTGGCCGCAGCCGCGACC